TAATGATTTGCATTTTATACATACATATCATCATGATCAGATCATAAAGGGTCATTGACACTGTTCTACCTCTTGAAGAACTACTGATAGTACTATATTAACATATTTATTTTTACGAGTTATACCAAGGTTTTACTCGGGTATGTGTTTATATGATATAAGAACATAGATGTTTTATTTATACCTTATCTTTAAAAATGAGTTGATAATAAAAAAAAAAGAAAAAAATTAGTGTTTTGTGATTTAAAGTTGATGTGTGATGTACAGGTCACATAAAATAAGTGTATATTAGTATTGAAATGTAAAGGGTGAAGTTATGGTAGATGTAGTCTTATTCTATATTCGTGTTTTGTCCCAAATTCCAAGATAAATATGTACATTGAAGATATAGGTAAGAAACATAAGTGTAATTGAATGTGATGCAATCATTATTACAAAAATGTGTGTATATAATATGATCTGATCACCTTTCATTCTTCTTATTTCAAAAAAAAACATTAAGATTATCGTGAGTACATAGCTGAAGCAGAAACGAAACAAAAAATTGATTATCTTCGATTTTTCTTTTATAAGAAAGAAAAAACGAAAGAAAGAATAAGTGTAATTGGTACATCTTCAACACTGTTCTTTACGATCGCATTGACTGTTCTTTATGATAAGAAACAAAACAAAAAAAAGATGATTGTATTAACCTTTAGTTCATAAGATTAAAATAGCAAGTGAATCGAGATTCTTATAGAATAGATAATATAAATGTATATATTGACAAAAAAAACTTTATTTTATTTTTTTTGGATTTATTAAAATATTAATATGGATATATTGGAATTTGTCAAGAAATTAAGTGCTGGTAAACATCATTCAGCACGTAATGATGATGTTTTTATTGATCGACTCAATCATAGATATACGGTGACAATGATTTTAGTATTTGCAGCTGTTGTTACAACTCAACAATATTTTGGTAGCCCTATAACATGTTGGGTAAGATATATTTTTGAAATTTATTTTATTAATTAAATTTTTTTGGAAATTTATTTTTAGGTACCTGCTCAATTTACAGGTGGTTATGAAAAATATGCAAATGATATATGTTGGATAATGAATACATATTATGTTCCAATGGAATCTGATATACCACATGCTGAAACAACTCGATATGAACGTAAGATAATCTTTTATTCTTAATATTGTTATTCTTATTCTTATTATTAATTAAAGGTATGCTAAAATATTATCAGTGGTCACCATTTATTCTTATGTTTATGGCTCTATGCTTTTATTTTCCACGTATGCTATGGAGATCATTAAATAATAAATCAGGTTTAGATATTGAAAAATTAGTTGATGAAGCTATGAAACATGAACAACAAGAAGAAGATAAAAAGGATGATAAAAAGGATGATAAAAAGGAAGAGAAAAAAGAAGAGAAAACGGAAGAGAAAAAGAAAGATTCAGAGGAAAATTCAAATGAAGATTCAAAGAAAAAACCAAAGGACAAACCAAAGAAAGCAGTAAAAGATATTGGTGATATGATAATAGCATATGCTGAAAATCGTTATACGTCTCCAGATCTACCTTCACGTGAATCAAAACGTTTTCCTCAAAAAGTCGTATATTATTTAACATTTTGGCGTCGTCGTCATTTAAGCTCATACATAGTTCTATTATTTACATTTGTTAAATTACTTTTTCTTGTTAATTCATTAGTACAAATTTATCTTTTAAATGCATTTTTGGGTAATGATTATCATTTATTCGGATTTGAAGTTATCGATAAATTTGTTCGTGGTCTTGATTGGGGTGAATCAAAACGATTTCCACGTGTGACATTATGTGATTTTCATATACGTGAAGTTGGTATTATACATCGATATACTGTACAATGTGTATTACCAATTAATTTATTTAATGAAAAAATCTTTCTTATTCTTTGGTTTTGGATTTTACTCCTAGCTGCATTCAATATAGGTGATTTTCTATCATGGCTGTTACGTATGATAAATGTTGAAAGTCGTACAAGTTATATAAAACGAAAATTACATATGAGCAATGCAATGACACCCGACAATGAGCGGACTAAATCAGAAGAAAACAAAAACAACGACCAAAAAATTAAACAATTTACTCGTGAATTTTTACAAGAAGATGGATGTTTTGCACTTCGATTATTAGCACGTAATGGACAAGATATTATTGTCAGTGACGTAATTGATTATTTATTTAAATATTATTGTAAGAAATATATTGATGGTGATACAGAAAATGATCAATCAAACGATCATCCAAGTAAATCAGTATCACCAAATTCTTATCATCATATAAATACTGATCGATCAATAGATCATTCAAATACTGATCGATTATTAGATCATTCAAATAGATCAGTACCATCAAATTCTCATCGTTTTCCAAGACAACCGTACACAACTAATCGGCTATCATCAATGGAGAGATCAAATAATTATGATGATGATCAGAGCAACTTAGTATAAATAACATCGTGATGACTAGAAATCTCTTATTTAATGCTATACATGTGATATCTATCTTATATTCACCATAATAATAACATGTAGATCAGTTTTTTGAGAATGAATTCATCTATATATTCAAAATTTTAATCTATCTGTTATTATTTTTATCTATATGAAAATTATAAATTGAGAGAATTTTTTTTCTGTCGAATTTATTTAACCAAAAAAAAAAGAAAAAGAATGATAAATACAGATGATGATTATTATTATTTTTTTTTTGAGGTATCAATGATTATATAATTAAAAATCGTCTCATTCTTATATTGACATTTAAAAAATATATATATGACACAATTTAAAAGATGACACCTTGGAAAAAAATCACGTTTAGGTTATAAAAGTTTCACATGTCAATTAACCTTCATTTGCATTGACATATTTGCAAATTGATGTGTTGTTTCAAGGTAAATATGCGGTTTAACATAAAATAAATTTTCGTAAAGAATTATATATATATATATTTATTTATATCTTTTCTTTTCTCTCCTATATATGAAACAGTGAAGAAATATACGGTGTATTTCCGTTTAATTCATCTTCTTTCAAGAAAAAGAATTAAAATGCGAACGTAAATAACTCCGAAAAAAAAACAAAAATCTCTTTTCTTTGGAAAAACTTTTTTTTTTCTTTTCTTTAAACACTGGTACGCATCGCGACTAAGATGAATAATGCGCGTACATTATTAAAAAAAATACACTGCCCCTCCCAAATTAATACATAAAATCATTTACGATAAAAAGAGAAGAAAAAAAAAGAATAAATGACCAGAAGACACGACAATGATATATATATATACATATACACACATATTCTCTTGGATAATAACAAACAATAAAATACAGTTCATTCTTGGATTCACCTAAACGAAAAGGAATATACAGCTGCGTCATTTTCACAAAACAAACAACAATAATAAAAGTACACAATGTATTGCGCTACAAATAATCACGACAAAAAGAAAAGAAAGAAAAGAAAAAAAGAAAAGAAAACATCAATCACAAGAGAAAGACTTGCTTTGGCTGTTCATCATTATTTATTAATACTGTTCGAATAAATTTATGACTAGTTATGCATGAACAGGAGATGATACATTAGTAAGTAAATTATGTGTTGATTGATGATGATTTTCTTCATCATCATCTTCTTCTTCTACTTCGTCATCCTCATCATCACGTTCTTCTTCTTCATCACTTAAATCTTCTTTTTTTGACATATTAACAGGTTCTTGATCATCATCGTCATCATTCAATGAATTCTTGTCATTTGATGAATTAATTTTTAATTGTGAACGATTTATTGGTTCTAATTTAACTTTATTCGGTATAAATATTTCATTATGTTGTTGTTGACTTGATAAACAATTAGAAAATAATGGTTGTGTTACTGTTGTTGTTGTATTTGTTGAATTTAATGTTGATGATGGTGGTGTTATATTATTATTAGTAGTAGTATTTGCTGTTCGAGATCGATGACTTGAACGTAAATGAGAATACCAATCTTTTGGTATAGGAAATATTTGATTACATAATTCACAACGATGTGGTCGAGTACCAGAATCATGAGTTTTAACATGACTATTAAAATTACCTATCGTTCGATAACTCTTTAAACATAATGGACATGCATATGGTTTTTCACCCTACGAATAACAAAAAAAAACAATTGAAATTTCTAATCATTTGATCTTAAAATAAATTTTCAGATAATTAAAAAAACCAATCATGAATGCTCATTAGAAGGTCATCATCTGAATCTTTATATATATATATATATATCAATTCATAGTTGAATAGTATTTGGAGGTTAAAAGCTTTGTCTAAAGCATTCGAAGGTTGTCTCTCATTGGTATTAAATTTCCTTTGAGAACTGTAAAGAAGGACGTTATGTAAATTGGTAAATTTCCTCATACTGTCCGATATGATTTTTATCAAAAATCAATTCATAATTTTTAACTACTAATTTATTTTCTAAAGCTCAAAAGTTGCCCTTCAAAAAAATAATCTATTACTGATATATTTTTCTAGAGTAAAATATTAGAAAATGTCAAGATTAGACAAAAAGGGCATTGTAATCACAATTCTATTCAATATTAACTTACCGTATGAATCCGAACATGAATTTGAAGATCACCTGAATTTGTAAATCGTTTTTCACAATAAGTACTAAATATAAATTCAATGAATTTTATTTGCATAAAAAAATTCTATTTTTTACATACCATGGATATGGTTTATCATTTGTATGACGTCGAACATGTATTTGTATATTTGTAACAATTTTTTCACATAAACCACATTGATATTTTTTTAAATTACCTAATTGTTTAGCCATAAATATTTGCTTTTGACCTGTTTGATTAATAGCTGTTATTGTTAAACCTTCAGCTGTTGGTGTTGTTGATATAGATGTTGGTAAATTTTTATTAACATTTGGAATTGTATTATTATTAATATGAGTATTAGTATGAATAATTGGTCGATTTATACTTATACTTGTATTTGAACTATCATCACTTGCACCACCTATGGAATATTCATCATCATCGACTTCATCTAATGAAGGTGATGGTATTGTTGATGATAGAATATTATTTGTTGTGGTTACTTCTAATGTTGAAGGCTGTTTACGACGTCCTCCACGTGTTTTTATTGGATCTTAAGATAAGAAAAAAATATATATATAGAAAAATAAATATTTATTGAAAAGGAAAAATCAAAACATGTCTTTTCACAGCAAACATGCTGCGATATGTAAATGTATGTAGTATAAATATAGGCATTATTCAGAACTCATGCGTCCTTACCTTATCCTTTTATATATATATAATAAATGAAAGTTATTAAGAAACAAGTAGAAGAAATTCTAAAACTTACGAGAATCGGAATTATGATCGTTTGTGTTATTAGGAAGATTTAAAGTATGATTACCAATATCTGAAACCGTATCAGTTCCCTATAAATTACATAAAAAAAATATTCTTTTAATTTAATTATAAATTACATACAGATAATAAAGAAGCAATACGTTCAATATGATTGCCTTTCACCGAGTTTAATGATCGACTGTTTGAAGAAAGAGAATTAGTAATTGTTTTTAAATTAAGTGGAGTAGAATTATGAATTGGTATATCAGTAAGAACATTAGATTTTAATAGATTAATACAATTATATGAATCATTAGTTGATATATTTTGATCTTTTATTAAATTTTTAAATTTTTTCTTTGGATTGATTTTTTCAGGTTCATTTGTATGATAAGATTTTCTTCGAGGACTTGTTCGTTTCGTTAATGATGATGATGATGATGTTTGTATTTCTTCTGCTTGTTCATCATCTTGTTTATCTTCATTATCATTACGATCAGGTGAATGAATTTTAACAATTAATTGTACACTACTAGTTGGTTTTTTTATATTATTATTAATTGTTTGATCAATATGTTTTGGTGCACCTTTCCGTTTTGATTGTCGTTTTGGTATAATATCTTTTTCTTGTTGTTGTTGTTGTTTTATTTCTTGTTTATTTTCATTTAATAATTTATCTGATGAAGATTTTATTTGTCGATTTAATTGATAATGAACAATATGAGATGTTTTACGAAATTTTGACCGTAGACTTTTTTGTGTTTGTTGAAATGTTCGAAATGCTGTATCAAGTTTAGTAAGTGATGCAGCACATGTACCACAAACAACATGTGAATAATGATCAATTGAACTATTTTCATTCTCAGGTAAACGTATACATAAATGACGAACAATAAGATCACGATAACGAAAGGGACGTCGTTTATATATATTATATATACGATGATTATGTTGTGAACACCATAATTTATGATGTAAAGATGATGTATCTTTTAGATGTGTATAACAAAGACGACATCGATCTTTTATATTCGTCCCGGTAGTCATTTCTAGAATAAGAAATATTTTTTTGTTATAATTTAAACATAATAATTTTATTCATATTAAAAAAAAGAAAAGAATATATATATATATTGGTAAAAACTTTTTATGAGTCATTTTTTTCGAATGAGAAAAAAATATTTGATAACATA